TTGGAATTTTTACTATCAAATTGTCAACCTCAATTTCTTTGAATACTTTAAAAAAACACTCATTATATATTTTCATAGCAGCTGTTAGACATACATGCCATTCCACATTGTCATCTTCTTTCCTAAGGGTTAGCAACGTGGTGAGTGGATTTCCAGTGACGCCAGGGTCACTCTCCGGGGACGGCAGTGCATGCTGCACCACAAGCGCACTGCCTTGTGTTGAAAGGTGGGATCGTTTAATAGTCTGATTGAGGATCTGGTGGTCAAGGGTCATGGAGGGTTTTACTTGATGTCTGGCAGGACTTTCCAGGTGTGTGGGGACCTACAAAATATAAAACAAACAATTGCTATGTGTAGCATCATCTGGCATTTCAAAGTTCCATTCTCAACAATCCAATTACTAGGGGCCCGATGCACAAAATTCGTGTAAGAGTAGGCCCTCACAGCCCCGCTCATCTGGAAAGTCATCCAGGTCGTTTGGACAGTTGTTTCGCTTTTCAGCCATTCAGTCTATTTGCATATTATGCTTTTATTATTATAGATGGCAATAAACACACTATAACATCTATTTTCTCTCAAATTTATGTTTCAACGTTTACTAAAATCGTTTAAATGCTAACCATGTTTTTAAGAGTAACCCTCAAAATTACATGCAAATAAAACAAAATTGGGAATAAATATATAACTAGCATTACTTTTTGAGGGTCTCAAAAAGAAAGGTTGAAATAATACAAGGAAAGTACAGTTGAATCATTATTATTAGTGATTTTTGTATTTCATTGGATTCCTTTACATTACAAATATAAATATTCTATAGGATATAATAACAACTATCTTTTATTTAATTTTTTAAATTACCCAGGAAGGAGCAGAAACAAAAAATAAATATACTAAATATTAAGTGTAGTACTTTATGGGTGGTGAAAATCTAGGTGGTTATTTTCACTTTTCTATATTTTCCAGTTTCTATACCAGGCACATTTAAATTTTTTAATAATCTTATTTTTAAACCCTTTCATATTCCCATTTATAAAAACAAAACTTTGGGAGAGTCATTATGAATGACAGAAAATAATGGCCTAATATTTTGGAACTCCTTTTTCAAATCACAGACTTAATATTCTGAGCATCTTCAGTCTAGCTGTCATAGTTAACAACATACCATTATTTGTATGAGGACAACTTTAAGCATTTCAAGCTTTCCTCTTAAAAGCCCGGGAAAGCCTGCCAGCCCCCTTTATATTAACTAAGCTGTGATGTGGATACATTTTCCTCAAGTGGCCTATTATAGACCTAATTAATATTTCCCACATGTTTAACAATAGTAAAGATGGCTGCACAGTGCTTATTTTTTGTTTATTTCAGTTACACGAACTACTCCTTAAAGCCCTTAATATGCATTAACTCAGATAAATAGCATTTATGAAGTATTTTGCATTTAAATTAGCTGGTTTGGGGTACCATATTGTAGTAGTTACTTTAGTTTAATTTTGTTATGCTGACATTTTTAGCATTATTTTAATTGTACTGCCATAAAATAATTTTCAGTCATATAACAAAAGATTAAGATTGGTAATAAAGATTTTACATGTTACTAATTATATTACTATGAACTTTAAATTTGTACTGGTAAAATAACATTGCGTTAAAATGCCATGGGTAATTTTTTAGGGGAGCTATTTAGATTATCCTGCAGTTTTAGTTTATTCTTCTTCATCTATATGCATTTATGAAATATACATTATAAGTACTATTTTCATATTCACAAATCTGAATCTCTTACACAATGTAACTAAATGCTAAAGTACATTTTATATCTACAAATAGAAAATATCTCTTCCAAAAAAAAAAGTATGTTGAATCAGAACTTATACCATTAACTAATTCATTTTTCACTTTTCATCCACTGGCTAGGAAAGCTTCATTAGAGTGCTTGCATTTGTGCTACATCAGGACTACAAGAGAAGTCATAGAGGTGATCCCAGGGCCCTAGACGTTTTCCATCTAAGGCACTATTAATATCAACTACAACAAAAGCAATAATAATGACAATAATATACAATAGTTACCAGTCACTGTGCTAAGCAATTTACCCACATTCATTTAATCTTTGGGAGAGCCTTAGAAGATAGGTTCTATTGCAGCATGTAGATGAAGCCACTGAGACTTAGAGATTAAGTGACTACATGTTATCATTTCTCAAGTAAGGGATGAAGCCAGAATACAGGCCCTGCCTTCTTAAACATTACACTTATTGGCTCAGTAATGTATACAACAAATTTAAAATGCCACACAAAGAAGTGGTTTTAAAAAACTAATTAAAAGATAAAACGGTTATAAATCAGGTGTTGGAAGGAGATGGTCTTGCATAAAGAGAAAAAGAAGGAAATCTCAAATGCAAAATATAAAAATGAAACAATAAAAGACATCGGAAGTCACAAAGTTGTGAAAAGGAACTCATAGAAATACCTTCCTTTCTCAGAGCAAGACTATCATCTCCTCGTTAGACCACTCTATACAGAGAGAAAATAAAATATAAAATGGAACCAACTTTAATTCTGCCTAAATTATTGGTAACTTAAGGAATTCCAAATGTTTATCAAGCAAAAGGGAAGACTAGCTTGAACCCCATCCATGTAACACCTGTAAACGAAGCAGAAGAGTCTAAATGCTCAGTGGAGTAGAAAAAGAATCAATGGAATGGAATGAAGCTACTCCCAGAAAAACCTCTATGTTTTCTAATCATGGACGGATATCAGAACAATGATACAACTAAGTGTAAAACATCAGTTAAATCATATGAGCCAATTTTAAAATAATTTTACATTGCCTGGGATCTAAGGATACAACTATAAAACTATGTATTAGAGCTGTTTCACCGAAGGTCCCAGTGTTTGTTTGGATGAAGTGAATGAAACTATAGGTTGCCATTGTTCTTTTATTCACTTATGTAAAAAATACGTTTTCTGCCCTAGCCCAGGAGCTCAGGTGGTTGGAGTGTTGTCCCAATACACCAAGTTTGCAGGCTCATTCCCCAGACAGGGAACATAGAAGAATCCACCAATGAATATATAAATAAGTGAAACAAAAAAATCTATCTCTCTCTTTCAAATCAATAAATTTTTTTTAAAAAAATTTAAGAAATATGTTTTCAGTGCCCAGAATGTGTGTACGGAATGGTACACTGAAGGTAGAAAGGAGACAGTTGCAATATCCGCCTTCAAAGACCTTGCAGTCTAGTCATGGTCTAGACAGGAAAGAAAAATACATGATCTCCAGGGTTAGCACTATGTTTACCTTGCTGGCTGCTATATTGTCATATTTCCTACACACAACCCAGATATTGGTACACATTAGGCTTTTTTTCTTCATTTTTTTTCTTTTTTCTTTTTTATATTTGTATTGATTTTAGAGAGGAAGAGAGAGGGAGAGGGAGAGGGAGAGATAAAAACATCAATAACGAGAGAAATCATTGATCAGCTGCTTTCTGCACGCCCCCTACTGGGGATTGAGCCCACACCCCGGGCATGTGCCCTTGACCAGAATCAAACCCGGGATCCCTCAGTCCACAGGCCGACTCTCTATCCACTGAGTCAAACCAAATAGGGCCGCACAATAGGCTTTTTAAAATATGTAAACTGCATGTATTCAATGAATTATTGAATGAATGGGTCAACAAAGTAGAGTGTATGATTAACTTTAGTGACATTAGAGAGCTTTGGGAATCCACAAGAGAAACAGATAAACCATTATCAGAATAATAGTCTTAGCCTAGCAAGCTGAAGCAGCTAATATGTTGTGTTTTGATTCATTAACCTGTGAAAGAGATTAAGACCATCTAAATATAGGGAAATTTCGCTATTGAAAAGAATAAGTAAATCATACCTCCAGAACTATGCATTATGTCTCACTATTATCACTTTGCTACTGGAAACTAAATTTAATAATGGTCAGTTTAAGTCCAAGGTTTCCTCTATGTATAGAAATCTGTTTTATTTTACTTAAAATATATTTTTTATTTATAGTCTCCCTGTTTGTTGAAATATTGTAAATAAATAGAAGCTGTGAATGTTTGTGAGAGGTAGTTGCACCAGAAAATGTAGGCTGAAGATTAATATTGTAATTTAATATAAAATTTACTCATGAGCATCCTGGCAGCCAAGAAAAAAGGACACTAAGTATATATATATATAGTAGAACTTATGATATTGCAGATATTTGACCATTGTTTTGTACAAAATGTCAGCTCCATGCGCTTTAATCAGAGGCAGGACAGTCATGCAGGGGAAAATCTAGGCCATGCACTATAACACCCACTATATTTATTTTTGATCAAAGGCCCACAGAATACTATGAATCAGCTCAAGTAAAAAGCCCAAATACATAATTTGGTACTGATCTGACTGAAACTTTGATAGCACTTACAAAGGCAGAGTAGTGTTTTCAAAGCCAATTACCCAGAAGACTCCATATTTGGATACACAAATTATCTCAAACTAGGCTTTAGATAGAATTGTGTGGCATGTGTTTTTTTAAGTTCCATTATTTGAAGTTATAAAAATATAAAACTTAACTTAAAATTTTTTAAAGAAATCTGTTTCAAATGTAGTCAAATTCCCATATTCTAAGAGAGATGTAGGTCTTTTAAAAAAAAATCACAAATATAGGTATTGTGGTTACCAGAGGTGAAGGGGGTGGGGAAGGTTGAAGACAGTAAAGGGGGTCAATATATTAGTAGGATGATGGAAGGGGATTAAATTTATAAGCTCACAATGCAATATACAGATGATGTATTACAGTCTTGTAGACTTGAAATGTATATAATCTTATTAACCAATGTCACCCCAATAAATTTATTAAAAAGAAATATATGTATTAATGAGCTATAAAAAATGCTTAGACCCATTAATAAGAGAACCCAAAACTGTGTTTACTGAGTAATCTGAAGTATTTTTTAAAATTAAGTATAGATCAATGGAACAAAACAGAGAACCCAGAAATAAACTGATGCCTTTATGGTCAATTAACATTTGACAAATGAGACAAGAGGATACAATGAAGGAAAGACAATCTCTTCAATAAAGGTATTTAGAAAATTGAACAGGCACATGCAAAAAAAAAATGAAAGTAGACCGCCAACTCACACCATGCACAAGAATAAATTCGAAATGTATAAAAGACTTAAATGTAAGGTACAGAACCATAAAAATCCTAGAGGAAAACCTAGGCAGTAAAATCTCAGGCATCTCTCATAGCAATGTTTTTGTTGCTATATCTCCTAGGGAAAGAGAAACAAAACAAACCAATTTAAAAAAAAATGGG